CTGGGCGCGCCCGGCCCCGCGGCCCCTCTCCGTCCTTCCGCGGCTCCCCCGCCAGACGGCACGCTCCGACCGACCGAGTCGGTCCCACCTCCGGGCTCTGTCGTCCAACCTGGCCCAACGGAGGGGTTTTCCGTCTGCCTGCCCTGGTCCTCCTGCAGGTGACAGAGAAAACCCCGACTCCGTGCGCTCCGCCCGCCCTGCCCCCCAGGCCTCACTTCCGGGATGTTTGAGGCGGGGCGAAAGGTATGGTTCCCATAGTACGTACTGCGCCTGTGCCAAATCCACCTGGCGCCTGCGCACTGCGCGCCGCTCCTCCTGGACCGGACATAACGGTCCGCGCGCGGCTCCCGGGCCGGAAGTGGAGGGAAGCGTCGCTGCCGAGCCGGCCTCACTCAGCGCCGGCCGGGAGAGCCGTTGCCGCCCCTCGGCGCCGCCGGGGCCTTCCGCAGCCGCCATGTCTGCCAGCGCCGTGTACGTGCTGGACCTGAAGGGCAAGGTACTCAGGGTTCCCACCCTTCTCGTTGCCAGGCAACCCTGAGGGGCCTCGCCTGGAGAGGGACCCACCCTGTTGCTAGGTAACCGGCTGAGAGGCCCCGCCTGGGGAGAGGCTGGGAGGCAGATGAGTCTGCCGGGCCCCCTCCGTTGCTAGGTAGCCGGCGGTGGTCTAGGGTCCGGAGCCCCTCCCTGTTGGTAGGTAACGGGGGTGGGGGGACGGCCGCTTCGCAGTTGCCAGGTAACCGCGGCAGCGTCCCCGCCCCCGCGCGCCCGGCTCGAGACCCTTGACTGGGCTGTCAGGCCTGCCGTGCGGGCGCCCTGGCCGCTGCCCGCGCCGTCTGCCGTCCGCCTTCTCCTGAGGCGGCCTCCCCACCTTCCTCCAAATGCCAGGCTGGGGAGGTAGGCTTGCGATGGAAACTGAGGCACAGCGGCGACCAAGCCTGCTGAGGTCGCACTGCTGCAGCGAGGTGCCAGGTCCAGGACCACCCCGCCCCGTCCGTGCGTGGAGCTAGGGTTTGCAGAGAACCTGCCCGGTGTTGCGGGTCCCGGCGGGTACAGGCTCGGGGGGAACACTTGGCTCAGACTTTGACAAGCAGATGTCTGCTGCGCTGCGCGTCCCTGAGTACCAGGAACGATCTGCCCCCTCCTGCGGGGGCGGGCAGATGGGCCCGGTGACTTCCACAGAGGCTGGCGTGTTTAAGGCAGAAAACCGTTCTTTCTTTCTGGCCCTGAGCTTTAAAGCCCACGTCCTGTGCTTGCCAGGCAAGTGCGTTACCACTGAGCTCCACCACAGTCCACAAACTTTTTTTCCAGGCTTGACGGCCGAACCGAGGGCCTCACACTGAGCTTCAGCCCAGCCCCTTTTTATTTTTTATTTTGAGACAGAGTCTGGCTAAGTCTCTCAGTTGCCCAGGCTGGGATGGAACTTGTGACCCCCCCAGGCTTAGCCTCGCAGAGTGCTGGGATGACAGGCATGTGCCGCCGTGCACAGCTCTAAAACACTCTCTCCTTCCCTCCCTCTCCTCCTCCTGTTTTTGTTTGTTTGTTTTTGAGATAGGGTCTCACTATGTAGTTCAGGCCAGCCTTGAATTCATTATGCAGCCCTAGCTGGCCTGGAACTCCTGACGATTCTCCTGCCTTGGCTTCCCAAGTACTGGGATCACAGGTGTGCGTCACCATGCCCAGCTGGAAACTTCTTAAAGGAAGGATTTCCAGGCCTCGAGAACTGGGCAGCACCCTTCCCCCAAGGCCATCCCGGTGGACAGTGAGTGACTGTCTGGCCTCCCCTGTGGGAACCAGAACTGGTCTGGCCATGCCAGACAAGCCCCACATTCATCAGGAGGGCCAGTGGGACACGGCCACAAGTAAGTCATTGCTCACCCTCCTGGGCGAGGTTACGAAAGGCTCCCTGGCAAGGTGTGATGGCCAAGCTGGTCTGAGAAGGTGGCAGGTGACAGTCCAGTGGGGGAAAGGTGTCCCTGTGGGCTGGAGGGTGCCAGGTGGCCAGCAGGCAGGCAGAAGACGTGGGCCAGGGTGTGGAGAACATCCAGTTGGCATGGCCCAGGGGACGCTGAGGGAAGGAGGCGCCTTCCAAGGAGACAGCGACCAGAATGCCCACGTCCCCTCCCCTCCCGGGGCTTCCGCCTCCCGGCAGCCGCCCTGAGCAGAAAGGAGGAAGCAGTTCCGGGCAACTCCTGGGTCCCTCCGCCAAGCCCAGAGGGGCCGCACCGCACCAGCAGCACAGTGTCCCCGCTTCTGGGAGCTGTGGCCCTGCGTCCTCTCCACCCCCTGGACCTGCCTCGTGTCCCTGGGCCAGGCGGCCACCTGGAGGCTGCGGGGCGCAGCGCCCCTGGCCCTGGGCCGCGGGTCCCGTCGCTGAGCCCCGTAGTGCGCTGGCGGCCTGCGCAGCTGGTGCCCCCCAGCGCTGCACCCTGGCGCCCGGCCTGCCAGCTCGCCGGCTCAGCAGCAGCACCACCGCACTCGCAGTCGTCCCGCTCCCCCCGCCACCCTCAGGCCTTGGTTTAAAGTTCAGGCTGGCGTGGTGGCACCCACCTGTTACCCCAGCACTGTAGGAGGCTGAGGCAGGAGGACTGCAAGTTCCAACCCAGCCTGGGCAACTTGGCCAGAGCCTGTTTCAAAATAAACAGAAAGGGGGCTGGGGATTTAGCTCAGCGGCACAGTGCCTGCCTGGCAAGTGCAAGGTCGTGAGTTTGATTCCTGGTACTGGGGAAAAATAACAAAAAGAACACAAAATAAACAGCAAAGGGCTGGGGTGCAGCCCAGCGCCCTCCCACCGCCAGCACCAGAGAGCGAGTGAGAAGTGAGTGCTGACGCTGCTGTGAACAGCCCTGCGCCTCTCAGTGCCGCTGCTGCGGGTTTTAGTCCCTGTGGGCCGGCGCCCAGGAGCAGAGGGACGGGCGTGTGCTGCCCCCCTTCCAGACCGGGGCCCTGCTTCAGCCTGGCAGGGGCAGGGAGACCCCACACGCAGGGAGGGAGGGAGGGAGGGAGGCCACTAGTGCCCGTGCGCCCTGCCTGCCCGCAGGTGCTCATCTGCCGGAACTACCGCGGCGACGTGGACATGTCGGAGGTGGAGCACTTCATGCCCATCCTGATGGAGAAGGAGGAGGAGGGCGTGCTGTCGCCCATCCTGGCCCATGGCGGCGTGCGCTTCATGTGGATCAAGCACAACAACCTCTACCGTATCCCTTGGCGGGGACTCGTGGGCGCACCCGTGCAGTGGCCCTGGGGACGACATGGTGCCCATCCTGGGAGATGAGCAGTGGGGGCGGCTGGAGAGGGCCCCTGTGGCCCCGGTCAGCAGCCTCCTAGTACAACAGGAAGTCCTGCGAGGTGTGGCAGGCTGTGCCGTCTGGGGGACGGGCGTGGGGATAGGGAGGCTGCGGGGAGGGGACAGGGGCGGGGCTCCTGCAGTCGGGTGGCCCCGACGGCCTGGGTGGTGGGCCCGGGACAGCAGCCAGCCCTCACGTGTCGTGCTCTCCGCCTCCCTGGCGAGGGCCTGGCTTTGAGGCCTGTCCTCAGCCTCCTGCAGCCCCAGCCCCGTGGGGGTGGTCATGGAGAGCTACAGGGTGGCCCACGCCCTGGGCCGAGGAGGAGGACACCCAGCCCCCGGCCATGCCGCCCAGCGCCCTGTGATGTCCTGCTGCCCCTGCTTAGACATAGTGCTGCCTGGAAGGCCGGGGGCAGCGCTGGCTGCAGGTTGACAGGCAGCCCACATCCGGGCAGCGGCTGTCTTCCGAGTCCCTGAAGCTGCCCTGCTGGGCCGGGCTGCCCAGGCGTGGGAGGAGCTGGCCAGTGTGCGTGAGCTGAGCCCCGGGGATCTCCTTCCACCCCATTCCACACACGATGGCTGGGGAGGGGCCCAGCGCCCCCTCTGTGACGCAGCCTGGGCCCCAGCGCTGTTGCCCACAGCCCCTAGAGATCCCGACCACAACGCCCCCGCTGCGCCCCGCCTTGCCTTCCCCTCCGCTCGCGCTGGCTGCCGGGCCAATGGAGGAGCCGGCCTCCGTGGCCAGTAAGGAGAGCTGGGCAGTGCGCGGGCGGGGCAGAGCTCCAGGCTGACTCGGCCCGCCGCCTCTGTGGGGCCCGCGCAGTGTGACTGCCGTGCTCCGCTGCTCCCCCGGTGCTGGGGTTGGTCCAGCCCTTTGCTGAGCTCCATCCCCTGCACTTGTTTTTTAATTTATTTTTTAATTTTATTTTTTTATTTGGAGTCAAGACCCACTGAGTTGCCCAGGCTGGCATCAGGTGTGCCGTCCTCCTGTCCCAGCCTCCCAGGGGCCGGGCGTACAGGCCAGCTCTGCGGTGCAGGGCCCCTGTGCTGCTTCCCACACTGGAAGGGGCCGCTCTGGCTGCCTCCGTGGCCGCAGGGCCGCGTCTGGCCAGTGATGGCCGTGTCCCGGCCTGGGGTGACCAGCGCAGGCCGGGAGCGACTTCCTTAACACGCCGCGCAGTGGTCGCCACGTCCAAGAAGAATGCGTGCGTGTCGCTGGTGTTCTCCTTCCTCTACAAGGTGGTGCAGGTGAGGCGTGGCTGCGGGGCGGCCTTGCCCGAGTAACACCCCCAGAGGAGCACTGCCAGCCCAGGCCCGCCGAGCCCGCCGTGCCAGGCTGCGCGGGGTGCTGCCCCGGCGGGGAGGGCTGGGCCCGGCGCGGCTCACGTGACCTGGCCGCCCGCCTAGGTGTTCTCCGAGTACTTCAAGGAGCTGGAGGAGGAGAGCATCCGGGACAACTTCGTCATCATCTACGAGCTGCTGGACGAGCTCATGGACTTCGGCTACCCACAGACGACGGACAGCAAGATCCTGCAGGAGTGAGCGAGCCCCCTGCCCCCGCCCTGTCGCTCTCAGACCACACCGGCCAGGGAGCAGCTTGGTCACCTCCAGTTCGCTTCTGCTTTGTTTTTTCTTTTCCTTTCTTTTTCACATGCTAGGCAAGCACCCTCCCCTCACCCTAGCCCCAGCCCTGTTTTATTTTGAGACAAGATTTGGCTGAACGGTCCAGACTGCAGTCAAACTTGAGATCTTCCTGCCTCAGCCTCCCTGGTGGCTGGGATGAGGGGTGTGCCCACCACACCCCGCTCGTGCCCACTTCCTGTTTTCCTCCTAACACTGTCTCCTTGGATCCCAGAAATGAGTGCCTTGGGCCATTGTCTGTGGTCCGGTGGGCTCTGGACATGGAAGGTGGTCCCTAGACACCAGGGGCCGCCACCTGTGGACCTGCAGGGGTGGAGGGGACTGCGGGGTGGGACCCATGGCCGACAGCCCTAACCCGAGCGGATGCCCACAGGTACATTACGCAGGAAGGCCACAAGCTGGAAACGGGGGCCCCGCGGCCCCCAGCCACTGTCACCAACGCAGTGTCCTGGCGGTCAGAGGGCATCAAGTACCGGAAGAATGAGGTGTTCCTGGACGTCATCGAGTCGGTCAACCTCCTGGTGGGTGCCCGTGTGCCCGCGTGGGTGCGGTCTTTGGGGGGCAGAGCGGTGAGACGAGCGGGCCTCGCAGCCCTGTGCCTGGACTCCTTGTTCGGGGTCGGAGTCCAGAGCTCCACCCCCAGAGCCCTGTCACCCTGGGGAGGGGAGCGGCCGTACGCAGGACAGGACACCGTGCGCTGGAACGCTGGGCCCCGAGGTGGCCCTCCCCGCCATGGTTCTGGTTTGAGGCTCTGGTTTGGGTTTTGTTTCACACCTTGGGCTGTTTGGGCTTCTGTTTTATTTGCTTGTTTCCCTCCTCGGTGCTGGGACAGACGGCTGCCCACCCAGCCATAGCCCAGGGTGGTCTTTATGTGCTGCGGCCTAACTGACTTCGTGGGCACTTTGGCCCCGTGTGACCTGGGCCCCTTGCCCGGCAGGACGCAGGCCCTGGCTGTCCCTTCGTACCGCCCCTGTCCCTGGTGCCCGCCCATTCATTCCCCTCAAGACAGTTTGGCTCTGGAGACCTCCGGCAAGTGGCATCGTGCGACGCCACGGCCCTGCCCCCAGGTCACACCGGCCGTGCCGTGTAGGCCGAAGCGTGGGCTGTGTCCCTTGCTCTGTGACCTGAGTTCTGTGACCCGGTGCTGAGCGCAGCCAGCACCCACGCCTGAAAGATGCGTGTGTTTCCGGGTGGCAGGGCCCAGTGCAGTGGTGGCACTGGCTGCAGGCTGGGTGTGGACGTGCGCGCCTATTTGGCTGCATAAACCCCAAGAGTGGGGTGCCCAGCACTCAGAAGCAGCTGCGGCACCAGAGAACCCACTGACACCTCGCCCGTGGGCCGTGGGCGGCCGTGTGGGCGCTTGTGGGTCCCGAGCTTCAGTCTTGTTTCCTTAGGGGCTCGTGGTGTGCAGCGTCTGTGCCTGGGTTTCTTTGTCACCTTACAGCTTCTGAGGACGCAGGGCTCTGTCGAGTTTTGTAAACTGGGTCATGTGTTTCCTTACTGTGGAGTGCTGAAAGTTCTTTGTGTTATAGACAGCAGCTTTGTCAGATACGTGATTTGCAAGTTTGCCTTTTTATTCTCGTAGTAGTGTCTTTTTGTTTCGTGTTTTGAGACAAGGTCTCGCTATACAGTTGAGGCCGGCTTTGAACTCACAGCAATCCTCCTGCCTCAGCCTCCCAAGTGCTAGGATTACAGGCATGCGCCACCGTACCTGACAGCAGTGTCTTTCATAGAGCAAGCATTTCTAACGCTGATGAAACCCAGCTCTTAGTGCTTCTGTTGTTCAGTGTGCTGCATGGTACCGGGCTGAGCTCACGCCAGCCCAGAGGGAAGCAGCTTCCTCCTGTGTGTTCTTTTTTTGTTCTTTTTGGTACCGGGAATCGAACTTAGGACTTTATGCTTGCCAGGCAGGCGCTTGTGCCACTGAGCTATCTCCCCCCGCCCCCCGTGCATTCTGAAAGTTATGTGACCTACAGTTCGATCTGTGGCCAATTTTGAATTAAATTTTACATAAGCTGTGTGGTTTCTGTCCACGTTGTTTTGGATATAATTTTTGCAGTTGTTCCCGACACTGGTGGCGCTGTTGTTGAAATGAGCCCAGCACAGTGGCGTGGCCCGGCCGGCCCGTTTCATCCCTCGGCTGCCTGTCTCTTCCTGCCTGAGGAAGCGCCGCTTTGAGGCCGGTGCCTGCACGAGGGGCCCAGAAACCAGAGCGAGCGTGCTTGTCTCGTGGCTGCGATTCACCTGCCGGGCGCTAGGGTCAGTGGCTGAGCCACGCAGGCCTGCAGAGCGGGCAGCGTCCTGGTGGCAGCCGTCCGGGTGACAGCGAGCGGAACGGCGGTGTGCTGTGTGGAGTCGCCGATGCAGGCATGCGGCGTGCGCGTGCGTGTGCGTGTCTGTCTCCACGGGGCTCTCTGAGCATGTGCTGGCTTTTGTCTCATCAGCGTGGCGTAGCTTCCTCCGGCACCGTGCTGTTGCACTCACGCCTGGGATTTCCAGGCTGGAGCTGGTGTGAGCTGTGTCTCGGGGGGCTGGGGATTTAGCTCAGCGGCACAGCGCCTGCCTGGCAAGCGCAAGGTCGTGAGTTTGATTCCCAGTACCAGAAAAAAAAAAGTTGTGTCTCAGTGTCCCTGGCCGGTCACCTCCCTGGGGCACGAAGGTCTGGTGCTGTGAGTGAGGCCCTGCCCTGCATCCCCGGCTGAGGCCGTGTTTCCCTGAGGGCCTGGGGGTCTCTGGGCCTCAGCTAGGCCTGCCAAGAAGGGAGGGCGACCTGTCCAGGCTGCACCCCAGGGCAGGTCGGGTCCCAAGCACTTTGCCCTGAGCAGCGTGCTCACAGAAAGGCCCCCTGCTGCTGGCTGCGGGGCGGGTGCCAGCCCCGCCTCCTGGTCACGCAGCACACCTCGGCCCGGCAGCTGCGGTTCCCAGCTGTGCTGCTGGGCTCCCTTGCCGGGGTCTGGCCGGAGATGTCTGTGTGCGTTCATGAGACTGTGGCCTGGGTTTCGGACACTGGTGTTCCAGGAAGTGAGCTGGGACGTTCTCCTTTCAGTTCTTGAAACATTATGTAGAATTGGGGTTAAATCTTTAAATGCTGGGGCTGGGGATTTAGCTCAGCAGCACAGCGACTGCCTGGCAAGCGAACATCATGAGTTCGATTTGCGGTACCAGAAAAACAAACAAACAAAAAATCTTTAAATGCTGTTACAACTCGCCAGTGAAGTGTTCTGAGCTTGGAGATCGATTGACGGGCCGTTATGTGGTGCTAGGATCCAACCCAGGACTTCAGTCAGGCTGAGCTACATCCCCAGCCCTAAATTCCACATTTTTTTGTGTGGTACTGAGGTTCGAACCAAAGGCCTTTGCACTGAGCTATATCCCCAGCCCTTTTGTAATATTTTCTGTTTTGAGACACGGTCTGAAAAAATTGCTGCGCTGGAACTTGAGATCCTCGTGCCTCAGCCTCCTGAGTGCTGGGGTTACAGGCATGCACCAGCACGCCTGGCAGAGTCAGCTTTTGACATCCTTGGCTTCCTGGATGCTTTTGATCTCGCTGCCCTGCCCTGCTGTCTCTAGCCTGTCCTCCCATGGCCGGCCCTTCCTGGAGCTGTGGGCAGGGATCAGGGCCTTTCGTGTGTAACGTGCAGCTAGGTGCTGCCAGCCTCTCTGGGTGCTGCTGGGTCGGTGTCCGCAGCCTGCAGCGGGATCTGCTTTGTGTCCCAGACACCTCCGATGACCCTGGCTTTCCAGAGAGCTTCGGGCCACCCGCCTCATCTGCCACCGCCAGGTTACAGAAAGCCCTTGTGGCCTTCGCCGTGGTCCTTGGGAGCCCACGTTGGTAATCCCAGGGAAAAGTTACTGCAATTCCAATAGGTAATTCCCCCCTACTGCTTCCAGTGTAACCACGGCAGGAATAAAGAAGCAAACACGTATCTGTAGGTGTGGGGAGCCTCGGGGGTCCTGCGTCCAGTCGGAACGATGGCTAACTGAACGGAAGGCCCAACCCAGGGCTGAACCTGGGTTTTATTAACTGTGAGGCAGGGTGTGGCTGGGGTGAGTGACAGACGGCACCGGACGTGCTGGTGCTGAGCTGGGCTGGTGGGAGGGGAGACAGTGCCTGCTCTGTGCCGTGAGCGCAGCCTGCAGACACGGATCAAGCCAGTGTCCTTGGTCAGCGGTTGGTGCTTCCGCTGCGGCATCCTCGACAGCAGCACCTCGCTCACACATCCTGCTCGGGGCTACAGGCGGCATCGCCGGCCGGTCACGTTGCTTTTTTTTCCTTTTTTTTAATCTTTTTGAAACAGGATCTCACTATGCAGTTCAAGGTGGCCTTGAGCTCACTTTGTGACCCAGGCTGGTCTGGAACTCGAAAGATCCTCCTGCCTCAGCCTCCCAAGTGCTGCGATTACAGGCGTGCGCCACCACGCCAGGCTTTGTCATACTACTTTAAAGACTACACATTAGCACTTGGCTAGACCCCTTTGCATTGAGTAAAGCCAGCTGAGAGCATAAAGAAGTTTCCTAGCCAGCTCTAGACATCAGTACACGAAGCCAAGGACAGGTTTAGCCAAAATGGACACGACTGCTCTTCTTCCAAGAAGAGCCGTCCTGTGGGCCCCCATACCAGGTCATGATCTCCTGGTCTTGCCTTGGTGGCCACACCGGCATGAAGGTCCCTGCGTGCCAGTCCCCCCGAGTCTGTGTGGGCAGCGTCGGGGGTTATCTGTGAGGGGCGGAGGGAAGGCGCCCTGCCTGGGGGTGCTCTTGTGACTCAGGCCTCTGGGGTGAGCAGAACTGCAGGGGGCTCAGAGATTTTCCTGCTCACAGCCGCTGCGTCTGTGCTTCGAGAAGCCACACCTAAGTGTCCCCACACAGCGACGGCCGTTCTGCTGCTGAGACGGTGGCCAGCAGGGCTGCAGAGGGGCCAGGGCCGGGCGGAAAGCCGCGCTGCCTGCGCCCGGTCTGCGCTGCGAGCTCCTGTCACCACAGCGCTCGGTTGGGAGCCGAGGCAGCACCAGACCGCAGCTGGCGCCCAGCCTGGGCAGCTTAGTGGCTTAGCGAGGCCCTGTGTTAAAGCGAGATGACACCGGCCGGGGACGCAGTTCAGCGCTGCGGGCCCCAGGACTGCGGACAGGGCAAGGCACGTGCGGCTGCGGGCTTCTCCGCTGACCTTGGGCCGTGTCCTGTGACCCCCGCGAGGTCTGACAAGGGACTTGGCCGGGGGCCAGGCCCTAGGACGTGCAGCTGCAGCCGGCTCCGTGCCCAGGTCCCCAGCGCCCTGTGCATTAGGACACTCGTGCTGTCCCTGCACGCGCTCCTGTGTCCACGCAGCTTGGGCGCTCACGGCTTCCGGAGAGCTGGCCCTGTGGTGGCCCTGTGGCCTCCTCACTGCCCCGGGACGACCCTGGGCCGTGCTGCCTCCTGCCGTGCTGCCTCCTGCCGTGCTGCCTCCTGCCGTGCTCCCTCCTGCCGTGCTCCCTCCTGCCGTGCTCCCTCCTGCCGTGCT